ATTAAGACGAAATCGAGCATTTTTTAATATTGTACAAATTTCATTGACATGTGATAAATGTTCTTCGAATGTTTTTGAATATATAATTACATCATCAATATAAGCTAATGCATATTTCCATCGTGTAGGACCTAATATATGATTAATAATACGTTGAAATGTTGCTGGACCATTTGTTATTTCTGGAGGAAGAACTGTAAATTGATAATGATTGTCTCGCGTGGAGAAAGCCGTTTTCGGTCGGTCCTCTTTAGATAGAGGAACCTGGAAATAGCCAGATTTGAAATCGAATTTTGTATAATATGTTGCATCGGATAATTGATCAAAAATTTCATCGATTCGAGGAAGTGGAAGTGCATCTTTAATTGTAATAGCATTTAACCGGCGGTAATCGATACAGAATCGCATAGTTTTGTCTTTTTTCTTAACAAGAACGATTGGTGATGACCATGGTGAAGTTGATTCTTCAATTTGACCACGTTCTAATAATTTTTGTGTTTCTCGAAATTTAATTTCTTGATCTTTAGATGATGCTGGATATTGTTTTGAATAGATAGGTGGATGATCAGCAGTTTTAATTGCTGATTGTGGAGGAATATTAATAATTGATGGTGTAGGATCAAATAATATTTTATTTCGCCATAAAATATCTTGAATTTCTAATCGATGTTTTGGATTTTCTATATGTTTCGTCGATTCGAATATTTGTTTTCGAATCTGTTCGGAATAACATTCTGCTCGTAGATGTTTTTGTAAATCATTTCCAGATAAAAAATGTTCGTTGCAATGATGACAAATAATGTTTAATTTTTCTTGATTCGAGTTGTCCTTTTTACGTAAGACAGCTCTGGATTTCAATCTATTGTAATGTCGAGTTGATGTTTGATGACGTTCATTTAAAATAGAATTATGTTTTGTTGGAACATGTGATGTTGCATATATTGAGAACGTTGCGTCACGAGAAAGGGTACCGATTCGTGTGTTTTTTGATAATGTTTGTTGTCGATTGTGTGCATTTATAAGTAACACTTTGGCGTGATTTTTATTAATATTTAATAATGTATGTGGTATGAAGATGAATTTTGATATATGACGTTCGTATGGTTCAAATATAAGATTATTAGTATTTGCAATTTGACATGTAATATCAACCAATTTTTGTGAATATGGAGGAAGAGTAATTTCATGCACTAATAATGCTGGATAATTAATGCAAGTTGGTTCCACATACGGGATTGAAATTAATTGATCATGTTGATCAGGAATAGTTAATTGTTTCTGGTCACCATAAAGGTGAACATGATTCGAATTTATCCAATCATTACCTAAAAGAATTGATGTAATTAAATTTGTAGCAACGTGAGCAGTAACGTAAGTTTTAATAGATTTAATTTGTATTTCTAATTTAATTTGACCGATAATATTAAGAGGTGTTGAATTTGCAGTTTGACATAAATGAGTTTGATATAAAAAATTTTGGTGATGAATGGTTTTGAGAAAATTTGAATGAATAATTGAGATGGCGGATCCTGTATCAACAATTGCTTCCGTTGGTTGATCATTAACACGAATTTTGATGTAAACAGGGAATGATGTTATTGTCGATGGCTTTATAAATTTACTGGGAACACCGCCATCATGTGACCCAGTTATTGAAAATTTGGAGGTAATGTACAATCACGGACATTGTGATCTTGACCACAATTAAAACATCCGATTGTACGTTTATAATAACAATCGATTGTTCGATGATTGTTGCGACCGCAAACTTTACAGTCGTTGAATTGATGTTGTGATAGTGATTGACTATTGCTTAGTTTCTTCTGTGATATCGATTGTGGTGGATAATTTCGAATTTGTTTTCTATCAGGTGCCATGAATGTTCGATTTCCAAGTGTTGGAATCGAGTTCCGCTGAGAAACGGAGCTCTGTAATTGTGTTGAATGTGAAACAGGATTGTTGTACTTCATTGTATGATAATATTGCTTTGGTGGATTAACTGCAGCAGTTAATGGTGGAATTGATGGGTGATTATAATTAAAATGACGTTGTTGTGAATCAAGTGATAGACTACCGAATGTATCATGTAAATCTTGTTCAATTTTTGCATATTTTAAAAATTCATTTAATGTATTGATAGATGATTCACGTCTTAATAATTCCTTCCTAAAATCAGGATTGATTCCACTCATTAAATATTGAATTATAATTTTTTCTGACATATTTGAATCAATTTCCCGGCATAAATTAATAATGTCGTCGAAAAAAGACGTAATCGGTTCATCCGGTAATTGTTTACGTTGTTTTAATGTATCAAATTTCTTATGAGTTGATGTTGAGGAAAAATATCGATTTCGAAATGCAGTTTCAAAATCTGACCATTGTTTAAAATTAGCTTCATTATTGTCGAACCATATTCCTGCAGATTGAATTAATTTACCACGAACAATTTCTAAAATTTCATGATTATCTGATTCATCAGTTGCCTTGGTTATATTCTTGATGCTTTTTAAAAACCGTTCGACATCCTCAGAAGGATGTCCGGAAAAATTTGGTAGATCATCGAATCGTGCTTTACGAGCTTTTGCTAATAATGTTTGATCAGCCATTTTACGTGTAGCTATGTTTTGTGTTTCCATTTCAATTGAATCAGTATATGAAAACGTACGAGATTTTGAATTTGTAATAATGGTATGTGGAAATAATTTGCTATTATTTTTCTTGACTTGAAGCCTTGTTCCGGAAGCCGTTATAAAATTATTTTGCGTATTTGAAAACAAATTTTTTTTTTTTTTTTTTGTACGGTTTACTCGAGAGTATTCCTATCGATTAAATATAACTTGCAATACAATTGATATAATGTAGTTTTGAAAAAAAAAATCACAGACGAGTCTCTTTCTTGGAGGCTCTTAATCAAGTACAATATCAAGTCTCTTTTATCTTAGAGGCTTTAGAAAAATATTCTTGTTCGAGTTTCTGTAGTAGAAGCTCTATTCCATATAAATAATAAACAATACTTTATCCGAATTGTTGTGAATGTTTAAGTGCAAAATGATGTTGTTTGCCAGGGTCGCCAAATGTTAACGTTCGTCCTGTGACGAACACTAGCTATAGATATATTCTCTAGGTTT